GCTATGGCTACTATGGATCTGTTATCAGTTAAAGGTGGCAGCCCTGCAAATTTCCTCGACATTGGAGGTTCTGTTGGGGTCGAAGAAGTGAAGACTGCTTTGGGTATCATAAATTCGGACTCCAACGTGAAGAGTGTACTCATCAACATCTTTGGTGGTATAGTGAAGTGTGACGTTGTCGCTGAGGGAATTGTGAGAGCCGCTCAAGAGCTGAGCATCGACCATAAACCGATCGTGGTGCGTCTCGTCGGCACCAACGTGGAGAGAGGCAAGAGCATCTTAGCTCAGGCTGGACTGGATTATTACGCAATTGACGATCTCAACGAAGCCGCTATCAAGGCGGTTGAGCTGAGCAAAGCTTAACCGTAATTATCGTATTTATCATCTTCCCGGTGTTCGGGGGGATACAGCATTATCGCTACTCCAATTATCTGTTATTGGGCGCGAATGAGCAACGCTCATTAGTGCTTTTCTAGATTAGTTTCTGAGGAATGTGAGTTCCTCACGAGAGCATTCGCGTGTGAGTTTTAATAGTGAATTAGAAGTGGGATCGTTGAACGACTCGAGTTGCGTCCATCGCCACGACATGGCCGTGAGAAATACTGTGAGGGGAATGTGAATTATCAGTGTACAGGTAGAGATCGAATAAGAGCTGTAAAGATGGAGTTCGTCATTGGTGGCGTCATCATGGATAAAGCTGTTTCTGAGAAAATGAATTGAGTATTGCGACTGTTATTCACTGTGTTTTTCAAGGCGCACTACTACTACAGTAAAGCGAACACATCAGCATCTGAAGAGCTGAGTTACTGCTGCCTTGCGGAAGCTTGCAGGGCTTTCGTGCAGCTGGTCATCGACGTGGGCGCCTTCTGTCGATATGATCTGAATGAAGACCCGTTAACCTCAATATTCAATTGTTATATCTTGGGATGAACTCGATGATATTCCTTTAATAAAGGGGTATGCAAATAATGTATTACCATTGGAATTCTATATCTAATACAGTGACACTCTAGTGGTGACACTGAGTGAGACGGAGTCACACATAGCCTCAGTGTATGGGCACATATCGCCGATGCGGGGGGCCCCCGCCGGGGGCCTCGATGAGTCTGCTACTATCAAGCGTTGAATGAGAGGAATCATTTTTAATATATTCGAAGAATAGTTTTATCATTGCAGATTTCCTTTCACTGTTTGATATTCATCCTCATCAGATGTCAGTTTTTTGTCGGTTTACATCCCGAAGCTGCCCCTCAGGTGGGAAGGCACGGCCTCAGGGAAGACTCGGCAGTGTCGTCTTCAGCGTGGGAAAATATGCACATGCTCGACGTCCTCATATGTTGGTGGCAATTCGAAAATTCCGAGAAAATTTCAGGAAATTCTC